CATGGTTCATAACGGTAAGTCAGCCTTTAATTATGTATTTAAATGTGATTCCAGATAGGAGCTTATCATAATGATCAAAAGTTTGTCGGATTACAAGGTATTCCAGACTATTGGGGGGGTCTTAGACAGTACTCTATAATCCGACATATTCGATAATCCAACAACGCCCAGCAAAACGCCGGGGGTCCACTGTATATCAAGATTTAAGGGATTGTCCAACTTTTAATATTATGGAGCGTAGTAATTGATATATTAGATTTAATGTTTCGAGAGGTCATTTACAACTCAGTGATAAAAAATATTATCAAACGTCACTTGTGTTTGTCGGGTATCAATTGCCAACAGTAAGGCGACTTTTTTATCCGTGCAGAGTTATCTTTTATTGTGTAGTACTTTGTTGTGATTATACAACAAGTATTCTTTGATAGACCAAAGTTACTTTGTTTCCTTGCGAAACTGACTAGATATGCGACGACTGAATGTTCTCTGACAAATAAAGAAGATAGACCTCAGATATTCCACGAATAAGGCCATCATCTTCTAGCTGATGGCGTAATGTCTCGCCGACTGCCATTGCGCGCTGTCGACTGCCATTGAGTGTTGCTTTTTCTAACCCCACATGAGACGAAATTGGTGTGCTCCATTATTGTTGACTGTGTTGTGTCATTTCAGTCTGTCAGTTTTGGTGTTTGCGAAGCTTCCCCCTTCATACAATTTATATCCTGAAGAAGACGTTGTTGTAAAAATAATGGGTGCAAAATGCGTGCCCCACACCGGTACCCTAACAACACGGAATACAGGTTTATCTTGCCTCGTTCCTCCAAGCGCTTTACAGTCACTATTCTTGCACTTTTTATACCACGAATAGCCATACTTACCTGTGGCCTATATGTCTTAACGGCATCCCGAATTAGGAGCGAGTTATACTAGATACATCGAGTACCTGATACGCCTGTTACTCTGTTACTTAACCAAAACAGTGACAAATATCAGTTACAAAATAACAGCCTGTTATTTCATGCTATGTTGTGATAAAAAGTGTATGTACCTGTTATCATAGAGTAACGTATATACGGTAACAGCCGTTTTCGTTAGTTTCGCGCCCGTACTTCTCTTTCTAGCAAAGCTATAAGACTTATGCGAGAAAAAGAAAAAGCTTGGACAGTGAAAAAATGTTCAGTAACAACTGTGGTAGGGTGTAACAGTTTTTATCTCTTTCTAAGGTAACTAAATCTTTCTAAGGTAAGGTAAGGAAAAGCTTGTGACAGTGCATTAAGGAACACTTTGTGTGGAACAAGACCTATTATATGAGTTTGTTCGTAACAGTTAAATACTGTTATATCCAGCTGTTATGATAAATACGCCTCACTCCTATCCGGCATAGAAAAGACGAGCAGGACAGTTAAGTAATTTAGCAAAACGATACGATAAAATGTTTCTAATTACCACGAGTGACTCCGAGATTTTTATACAGAATTAAAGTCATCAACATGACTGAATGTCCACTTACCATCTTTTGTAATGAAGTAGCCTATCCCATACAGAGAAAACGTCTTTTCTGGTTAACAACATAACTTTTGGGCGAAGGTTGCTGAGATACTACCTACTGCTACATTGTCTCTCAGTCAGATGGGCAGCGCAGTGCTAGGGCGTAGGTAAGTACAAGATCAAGGCATAACTACAATTCAAACAGTAGTTATTACAATTGTTGAGATTATAAATATACATTTGGAGCATAAGCAAGATGGTAAAACAAGTACTAAAGTTCTAGTGATAAGAATTGTTTTTAACTTTGCCGTCATGGAGACCTATAAATAATATGTAAGATACTACAAACATTATAAGTAGTTTTTAGTATTAACAATTGAACTTTCTGTAAAGCTGTCTTTATATGTATAGAGAGGTTTTACCCAAGTGATGTAATTAAAGTGCTGCAATACTAATAAAACTATTATCTCAAACTTATCGATGTATCTAAAACATGTTTATTTTAAAACTATAATGATTGATTACTTATCCCTATCATTTATTAATGATATTACACGTAGAGCCACTTAACGAAGTATAGTAAGTTTCAGTAAAACATGTCACTGCCATTTATATTGAGCCGTTTTAATTTTTTTAGATTTTAGATATTTTCTACAGTCACCTTAGCAATACATGGAAAGCTAGGAATGTATTTATTCATATGAAACACCCTGCATCGTAGACAATATCTATTTACCCTAGATTCAAAAACGCGAAAATTCTGACCAGACTAGCGACGATTAATTGAAATCACGACATACCCGTGGGAATAAGCGAGTATTTTATATGATGACGTAATGTTTTGCCTACTGCCACGCGCTGTAGACTGCCTCTGTGTGATGCTATCTCTCACCCTATATGAGACGAAAATTGGTGTGCTCCATTTCATTATTTGTTGCCGTCTTGGATGATTTCAGTCTGTCATTCTTGGTGTTTGCGAAGCGTTCCGTCTCATACGATTTATATCACGAAGCAGACGTGGTTATAAAAAAAAAAAGAGTGGGGAAGAAATGCGTGCCCCACACCGGTACCCTAACAACACGGAATACAGGATTATCTTGCCTCGTTCCTCTAAGCGCTTTACACTCGCTCTTCATGCACTTTTTGTACCACGAACAGCCATACTTACCTGTGGCCGATATTCCTTAATGGCATCCCGAATTAGGAGTTAGTTATACTAAGTAAAATCGAGTACCTGTTACTTATCAATAATAGTGATAACCTATCACAAAATAACAGCCTGTTATTTCATACTATGTTGTGACAAAAAGTTTATGTACAAGGTTACTCTATAGTACAGAGTAACCTATATACTGTTACAGCCGTTTTTTTTTTAGTTGCATGTCCGTACTTCTTTTTCTAGCAAAGCTGGATCTATTCAAGAAAAGGAAGACCTTGTGACAGTGGAAGAATGTTCAGTAACAACTGTGGCAGGGTGTAACAGTTTTTATCTCTTTCTATGGTAACAGTCATACACGAATAGAGAAAAGCTTGTGACAGTGCATTAAGGTACACTGTGTGGAACAAGCACTGTTATATGAGTTTGTTCGTAAGAGGTAGTCAGTTAGCTTAAGATACCTGTTATATTCAGCTGTTACAATAAATATGTCTCACTCCTCTCCGGAACAGAAAAGACGAGTGGGACAGTTTCGTAATATAGCAAGTGAACGGTTAAATTTTAAAATAAATTGTACAAGGCGTCGCTGTGATGCAAGACGTTGACTTATGAAGTCAATACGATAAACGTTTCTGATACTAACCGACCAAACGTTTCTGATCTATACCAACGAGTGACTCCAAGATTTATCTACAGATCTAAAGTCATTAACACCAATGACTGAAGCACCACTTAATCTGTTGTGAAGAATTAACCTGAACCTGATAGAGATAACGTATTTCGCGTTAACAACGTAACTTTTGTCGAAGGTTGCTGAGCTAGTATGATTACTACCTACTGCTACAATATCTCTCAGTCAGATGGGTAGGGCAGCGCTAGAGTGTAGGTAGGTCAGCCCTGTAGTCCAGGGCTCATAGAATAGAACTAAGGTATCTCCTGCCTATCGTATAAGGCGGCTAAAGCATAACCCTGTCATGTAATGACAGGTGTATCTTTTGAAGATTTCCTCCCGATACCAAAAAAGGGGCGTAGATAGATACAAGATCAAAGCATAACTACAATTCAAACTGTAGTGTTATTACATTTGTTGAGATTATAAATATGCATTTGGAGCATAAACAGGATGGTAAAACAACAACTAAAGTTATAGCGATAAAAATAGTTCTTAACTTTGCTATGAAAACTTATAAATATTATGTAAGAAACTACAAACATTATAAGTACTTATTATTATTGACAATAGGACTTTCTGTAAAGCTGTCTATATAATAGAGAGGTTTTATTCAAGTGGTGTAATGAAAATGCTACAATACTTATCCAGTAAACACGATTTCCCTAATAAATGTTGACCAAAACTATTATGTCAATCTTATTGATGTACCTAAACAATGTTGATTATAAAACTATATTCATTAATCACTTATCCTGTTATTTATTAATGATGTTATAAATGGTAAGTGAATAACATATAGTAATCCTCAATATGTAGGTAAAACAAGTCATTCCCATTTATATTGAGATGTTTTTTTTATTTTTATTACATTTTTTTAGATATTAGATATTATCTAGTCATCTTAGCAACACGTGGAAAGCTATGAATATATTTATTTATATCAAATACCCTATATTGTAGACAGTACCTATTTACCCTAGATTTAAAAACCCTTGTTTCGTTCACCATAAACCCATCTGAGCACCACCTGTATGTACATCTTCACTAAAACAATTCTGGTGTAAAGAATGCTTTAGTCCTTGCATCACCACAAATCCATTAGATGGCTTCAATCTTAAAGCACTTTCAGCCATCCATCAGCAATTTGATTTGTATTACTGATATATTACATGAGATGTTTTGTTTAAGCAACATACTTAGTATTTTTAATGTTCAAAGAAAGAGGTACCAAAATTATTTAGATTTGCTACACAGAAACAAACAAATCTATACTATACTTACCATTAGTGTATGTTGCCATGAATAATAAATCCCTATTAATATGTTTATATAAGGGTCCCTGGCATCGGTTTAACTCAAATAGTTTATTTCTTTGATAGAAAATAACACTTATAAGTCATATTTGTATAAAAATGTATATTTAGCGACACAATACTACTACTCTTTTTAAGATTGTCAGATCAATGATTTTGGGTATTAAGACATCATAGAGCAAATTTCATTTATTAAATATATAAAGTAAAAAACTTACTTATATCTATATTACAACTAATGTGTAATGAAAAGCAGATGTCCGCTGCTTGGTGATAGTTGGTACATTTTGTACACAGCAGTTGAACTAAATTTAATCTAAACAAACTTCACTCTTTTAGATATATTTTTGAGAAGGTTACATATAGCTACCTGAAAGCAATGAACGCATCTCCAAGCTCGCCTCCTACGATGTGTACACCCCCCTCAGGAATGGAGAGGCCCCGAAAGAAATTCCTAATGTCGAGGGCATTGGCTGACCAAGGAAGATTCTGTAGTCTAATGATGACACTCATTTTGCTGCTGTGTCCGTTACCTATAAAAAAGTTAAATATCCTTTCCATTTTGCGATTTCAGTTATGATTCAGTTTATTAAATAGCTAATATAATTGTAAAATCAATATATTTAGTGAAGATCATTGGAGCTAAATGCTGTTTAAAAAATGTTTGTATTTTTCTATTTCAATTATTTGAAAATTTAAGAGGAATAACAAATATAACATAAAATAACTTTGAATTTTTAAGTTAGACATATATACGAATTATAGTTTATTGAATTTAGTTACAACTAAATACCTATCTCAAAGTTATTAAAAAAATTAGCCACCGTAATCGGTGCCGTTACAGTTCGGTACAGTTCTCTTCTGCCACCGGCAGCCAAAAATACAGGTTAATTCTGATAGTATTTATAAATTTGAAATTTAATGAAAACCGAATGTTAAACAAAATCACGGAAATAATAACATGGACGCAAACATAAAATGGCTGCTGCTCGTTTTTTAAGACAGACAAGATTAATAATGTTTTGACAATTATACATTATTTATAGTTTCCTTTTCATCTTATAACATTATGATGTACAAAATACCCGACCTCGATAGCAGTGTCTTTAAGCGTGCTTTGAGGTAACGTATAACCTAATTATATTTATTTATATTTTGAAAAACTATATAAACAAAGTGTTTAATGAAGAGGTGTATGTTCATAATATTTAAATGATGCAATAACGTAGTTGGATTCAATCAATTTCGCAGCGCCATGCTAAATCGCATTTTCGTTAATTACTTTTCACTGACTTACCTACAAAGATACTACGATTTTTATTCAACCACGAATGAAAAAGTGAGAAAACATTACGAAACACTAAAGGAATCACTGAAGTGGTAAAAATCCTATCACATCCAACTTAAAATCATCCAATTATCACATCACACCGAGAGAAAGGGCGGAGGAAAACACAAAATGGCGACGGCGGCTTCAGCAAAGATATAAAATTGAAATCAATTTCATTTTGAATTGATGACGTAGGGTAGGCGGTAGGCTTGTCGAAATATCGATATTATTTATTTGATATATCGATATTTTTTATTTAAGTATAAATATCGATATTTTCTTAGATCAGTGGTCGCCTCTATCCTAATATCTAGCGAATTAAAGTAGTATCATCTTGACCAGTCCATAACTCTCAGAAAAAATCTGTTTGATTGTTGTCATTTTGCCTCTGTCCTCTCAGTAATAGTTCTAAAGTATTTGACATCTGCATACTCAGTTTCATTGGAAAGTTAAATATAACTATTCAGCCAAGAAATGCAGCTAGGGTTCTTGTCATCATGTCGCGTGGATTTCCTAGAGATTTAGACTTAGTCAGAATGTAATTTAGTAAAATTTATAATTGTAAATATTTTTTCATTCATTCGGCTGTTTGTTAGAAAAATCGATTTATCGATGTTTTTTATGAAAATATTAACATTGATATCGATATTTTGTACGTATGGATTTTGTACGTATGGTTTCTGCACCCGTAACGTAGGGCATAGACTAGTGTTAGTATTTTTTGTAGTAGCGTATAAATAAGGGTTGCCGTACGTTAGCGTTTCATTTGGTGTATTTATTAAAAAAAACACAAAGTTGCTATAGTACTCTAATGTTGAAACATAGTGAAATAATAGTATTTCTTTTTTAACTTCTTCACCATAATGGCTTCGAATACTCAACAAAGTGCCGCTCGTGTATTCCATTCATAGTTTTCTTTATTTTCCATTTTGACACGGATATTAGAAAAGCCTCATTTACTTCAGATCTAACTAATTTCTTTCTTTTTTTGTTTTTATATTATATAATATATATTTCACTAAAACCTCGCAATTTGCGATAATGTTCGGTACAATAGGTCAATAGCGTTAGCGACTTGCAGTCCGTTTCATTATGGAACTTTCAACTTTTGCCTAAAATTCGTGTTTTGCATCCTTTCTAAGTACGAAATCTTGTTTACATTGAGCAGCAGCTTCCACTCGTCATCTATTGTTTTCTTTGCAATTTCATTTTCCATAATTCCATTGACCAGAAAACCGGCGTAAAGTGGAAGTATAATACTTTCGCGTTTCATCTGCTTAGTGAAGTAGCCGGAGCCCAATTTTCAAAAGGCGCGCATTTGACAACGCATCTGCAAACACTCGGGTGTAGCAGATGTCCATGGGCGGCGGTATTCACTTATCAGAAGAACCACCTGCTCGCTTGGCAACATAAAAAAAATCGTGGCAGCTGCTAACGTTTCCAAAGAAGAAATCGCTAGTTCCGCAAAAATTATACGTTGATTTCCTACGTGCAATGTTAAGATTTAAATTCAGTGCAATTTGTTTTTGTTTTTTTAGTAGCTGGTGCACGAGGTCACATGACGGTGCCGCGGCCGTCCGCTCCACTGCGTTTCCACGACCGCTGTTAGGGAAAGATGAACAATGAATTCGAACCTCAGCCTGGCCTGTCATCGACGTAATGAGGTTGAAATTGCAATATAACCACAAGTTATACAAAAGTCGAACGATCGGTTATGAAAAATCACGAAACGATTAATATACAAAGGCAATTAATTTATAAGAACATAAAATTCATTGGAATAATCAAATCGGGCAACCAAAAAAATGTTGGAAATAAATAAAGTTTCGTAATAAAACTACACGATAATCAAAGGAATCGAAAGACCACCTAACCATCGAGTGCGCTTAGCCAAGTGTGTAAGTGTGTGTTTATTTGTTACGGCGGATTACCATCCTAAAAGCCTGAACGGATTACCACCCGTTCAGGCCTTTGGTGACAACGTCTTGTAATCGGGCAGTGACGGAGGAATTAAATAATTTATCATGCCACTTAATGTATCATCTGGATCGTCTATTATATTCATAGGCTAGTGTAAATGTTCCGATGCACGGTTCTAGGGGGTACGGAACAGATTCAGACGCATTCATCCAAGGGACTTTAATGGGTGTTTATTCTTTTAAAGTGTGTTTAAGATGGTTACTTAAGGTAGATAATGTAATTTTTAGATAGTGATGCAATTCCGTGTTCCGTATTTGCCACAAAAATTACTGTTAATTGTGATAATTTATATAAGCTATATTAAATTGGCTGGTCGTAAAGTACCTAAAATATTTGTGAAAACAGTTATTTCTCAAACATACTGCTAAACACAGCTGTTCCAAGCCAAGGACCGCCCCCTTCCCCTGTTAGTCAGTTGTCAATATCTAGTTAACATGGTGTTACGATGCGGAGTTTCAGCGCAGTGGACGGCACTATCATTTGTAGTAGTCGTGGAATCAGCTACATTGTTCTCCCGAGTCCGCGGGTAATCCACCCGTGGACCTCTTCTGCCGAAGTTATCAAAGCTGGCGGATTAACTACACATACCTAGAGACAGCTCTAACAAACTATCAATTATCTTTCTTTTTACTCTGAGATTTCTATTCATCCCGTTTTACAATATGTACACGAAAAAAGCTGCATATTTAGACCACAGATAAGATGAGCTCATTATAAAAGGCAAACGCAAAAGCTCACTTGAGATTTTGAGATACTTAAAGTAAAAGAAGGAAGCTACATATTTGTAAAACGCGTATATCTCACTATACATAATTTAATTAATTGAAATCTGATGTTTCTTGACATTTATTTCTTAAATGCTACGGTTTACAGTATATTTTTATCTGTGAAAACTATCACTAAACTATAGTAACGTTTGTCATTTCTGAAGTTCTGATTCATTCTGTTAAATTCTACAAAAATTGAATAGGCTAGTGTTTCAAGATACAGTTTTCTTTATATTTCTGCAAATTATATTTGTAAGTATTTTCAATAGGTTTATAAAAAATCAACAAAACTATAGTCTATAGCTGTTTATCTGAAAAAGATTATTAAACCAACCACGTAAATATGACTGTATTTTTGTGCGCTATAAAATATTTGAAATAGGTTTCAGCGCTGTTATAATTATTATGATGACAATTATTAAAAAAAAAGTACATTTGAACTGATACGCTCTGAATTTTATATTAATATTGTATTTGGATAAATATGTACAGAGAGATTTTATAAGGATTCCCAATTTACCATAATGATTAATGGAAGTTATTAAACAGCTATTAAATGTTTCAGTGGTTAAATGTTATCTTATCAAGGGCTAGAAGTAATACAATTTTTTTTAATACTTTGCAATTTTTGTGCTTAAGAATTGGTTGTATAGGACATTAATTCTGAAAACTTATATTTAACATTTATCTTCGAATTTTAGTGATTTTAAAATTAAAGATCTCTAAATTTTAAGAATCTCTGATAAAATCCTATATTAAAACTTTTGAGAACTTTCTATGGTTATACATTTTGATCTCAAAATAAAGGTCTGAATGAGAGTGATTGGAATCATATTGAATATGATTTCCGTTTTTATGAACAGCACCCGTTTTTCTTTTCCAGGTAATAAGTGGATCAAGTACTTAAATATTTTTTTTAAGTCTAATCTCACAATGAAGTCTTTGTAAAGGCATTGCTCAAAATAAAATAGAAGTTAAGTGTAGGATTATAATTCAGCTATAACCTGTATATATAAATCCAATAAATGTGTGAGAGGTATCCAGGATATCTGTTCGGCGGCACTCCTGTCAGTAGTTGGGACAGGAGTTTCAATCCGCTGGAAAACGTAAGTTTCTTACCTTTATCCGTTTTAAGTGTTTGATATGTATCCTTATTGAAAACAAATTAACAATGTTTATGGATTTTTGAGATGTGTAGTTTGCAAGGCCAAGTTGACTACTATGGGCTAACTACAATATTAAAATGTCAAATATCTCAGTTTTTCTCATGGTCTAGGATGCTTCTGAATGTTGAACTAAAAGTTGTTAAACTAAAGTTTATGTCCTAGCTTGGGATAGGTGAGTTGGAGGGTCGTAGGTTTCACTCCCAAAGATGATTATTCGGAATCTAGATATTATTTCTCAAGGAGGATAGACAACAGGCAGAGGGCCGGCCATTCTTAATGAAAAAAAAACCTACTCAATAACACAAATAAAATGATTTACATTATGCGCCAACCCCACCTACGTGGAATAAGATCATGAGGATGTGTAATGCTCATGCATAAATATATAAAATCATGAATTCAGAATTATGATGTTATTTTTGTGCTAAGTAAATGAGTGTCTAGTGATTAATTATTTTTATAAATGTATTTACGAAGTGATAAGTTTTATGATTCCCTAATGTTTAAGTGCATTTATTGATACTTGAATATTTAATTTATTTCACAATTTTTGATTGGTAAGTCGCTAACATTTTTAGGAAAAAGTATGAAAAGTTTTTCACCGCTGTGGGAATTGAAGGATGGTTATACTCTTTGAATTGATCATTCTGATCATTAAGAAGATTACTCAGATCCTCAACATCCTTTTGGCGACTCAAATAACATTTGAAAAGCCATTTGACAGCTGATTAGTTGACTGTATTGTATTAACTGATGTTATTGCTTTCAGTCCCGAGACTATTAAAGCTTCATCTGACGCAGAACCGGTGGGCTAGCCAGAACCCACGGGTTTGGGCCTTCTGCTGTGGGTAGGGCCACGCATGTGCTCATGCGTGCGTTTATTGTGTGCACTATATTAGTGCGTTCTCGGAGGCGAGGGCGAACTAGTGTGTTTGTTGTTGCACTAACTGTGGGTGTAGTGTTGTCCGGCAGGACCCCCGGCGGTGGGTCCGGCGTATCTAAGTCCCCTTCCTCGACCGGGTCGATTAGGACGTTTCGCGGGCGACGCTTGTTGACGTTCGCGTTTGTGTCGGGTTGGTAATTTACTGCGCTTACCACCAGAGGGTTGGGTTGATGTTCGGCTCTATCGAAGAACCGTTTGGTCAGGTCTTTAAAATATTCGCGAATCGTCAGGAGTCTGCAATGGCTGTGCAGGTCGACATTGCGTTGATACCACTGCGCACCGGTTGCGCGGCGGATAAACTTATTTTGTACTAGGATTAGTTGACTTCTATGATAATCAGTGTTCAGAATCTGGGCGTTATGGTAACTATACGGAATTATAGTCTAGTGTCTGGAAGGAGTTTCTAATTACTCCAATAAAATACTATGCAACTACATGTCTCTTGTACATGTTTACTGTAATAATTTAATTTTGGAACAAAAGCCATTTAGATTTTAAACAATCCAGTTGGCCATGGCACAAACTTCCTCACTTTTTGTTTATTGTTTCATTGTGATCATGCATGTTTTTTTTTCCAATAATTTTGTTTGTCCTCTAGTGTATTAATTTTACTTTGTTTGTTGTGAAACTGTATTTTATTCGTGAAGTTCTGGTGGAAGCTGTTACCAGGTGTGTATATCATTTAATCGATTAATTATATTTAACTCAAAAAAAAAAAAAAAGCCTTGCATTAAGTGGCTTTGAATACAGTTTGTTTGCATATACTATTTTCATAGTATCTACGAGTATATTGAATTATAATTATTAAGTAGGTATAGAGTCTTCTCAATTAGACGAAAGCTTGGCAATTTAAATCCATAGAGAGCAGTCCTTGTTGTAGACTTTTGCTAGCTATTGTAAAAATGTATGTTACCTTTGAGAAACCTTGTCTTATAGTAGTGAAATATTTAGAATATTTGCAACTTACTTTATATTGATGATAACACAACTGTCTCATTCATTAATGGAATGAACATAGAACATATAATTTATTTTGTTATTTGTGTCCAGGGTGCAATTAACACCAGTCATATTTAAAGTTTTTTATAGTGCTAATCTCTGCACTTAAGATTGATCGTGCCGAAGACGTGGGTTCGATTCCCACAGCGGCGACAATCTTTTCGTACTTTTTCTACATGTTTTAACCAGTCATATTGTCAATATGCTAGATGAAAAGTGAATAACACCATCTTTTACTATCACGGTAGGATTAAATATATTTAGAATTAACGAAATTGGATGCAGGACCGCATGACGTATGCATATCGATTAAAGTGAAAAAATAAAAACTGTCTCTGACTGTCAGAAAATCTTAAATATGGCGGGAAATTTGACACGCGCTACATTAAGCAACGCTGAAAAATGCCATCGTTCCAATGTCGCGGCCGCGCGAGAACGCACCAGTTTTTACGTGATTAACGTAGTCGGCAAGTAACGCGTCGATAACTTTATAAAGGGGGGCGAGTTCCATTTGAGCTGGAATTGTGCCAGGGTGGGCTCTTGTTGACTCGCTGTTAGTTCAACATCTTTGTAGGCGTGTCGCGTGGCCTTAAGTGATTCTTTGAACTGTTTACACTCTGTGGGCTGTGTGGCGCGGAATACGCCCGCGACTGAAGTAGTAGTGGATTTTTCTAGATCGCGTGGCCATGGGAGTTAGGGGAAAGAGTTAATGCGACCGGTTATATTTTACGTTTGTTTGATTTTTAAAGTCTCTCTATTATATAGGTGCCGCAGATGATATAATGTTACCTATATTACATAATTATCTATATTGTATAGTAACTATTTTGGGTAACTCGGTGGTAGGGCCACGCAATTGCTTCCGCTGTTACACGGCTTTTTTATGGAAAGGGACGCCCATGGACCCGCGCGTCACCAGGGGAGTCACAAACGCGTTGTCGGCCTTTAAGTTAGGAAAAGGCAGAGTGGGTATGTCCGTTCGGGGAAGTACCACGACCCCACCAGAAGACCAGCGTGAAGTAGAAGTATTATACTTTTGCGTTGTCTGGTGAGGGAGGTGACCGGTTTTTAAAAGTTGACTACACATCTGCAACTTTTGTCAAAAGGTTGTCAACGCATTTGTAACCCTCAGGTGTAGCAGATGTCCATGGGCAGCGGTATTCACTTACCATCAGGTGAACCGTCTACTCGTTTGGCAACTTTTCACATAAAAAAAAAAAAAAAAAACTCGTCTGGTGTTGGAGCTGTTAATGGGCGGAGGTAAGCACTTAACATAAGGTGAACCGCTGATTCCTTCTCCTAAAAAAATATTAGAAACAGAAATCATTGTAAGTGAAATTATTATTTATTGTAAAATTAGTGGTATCAGCCTATACATGTCCCACTGCTGGGCCAAGGCCTCCTCTGTACAGGCGGTACACGCGGCCCGACTGCGGATTGACGGACTTCAAATATCTTCGAAATATTTTTTTTTTATTATTATTTCGAAATTATGCAGTTTTCCGATGTTTTACTTCACCGCTGAGCGCTTGATAACTCAGCACTTAAAATTAAAAATTTCATTGGTGCTGGCACCGGGGATCGAACTCGGGTTGCTCGAGTATGAGCAACCGAGGGTGAATGGAAGGCGAGCGCCCGGACACTGAGCTATCGCGGCGACTTATTATTTATTGACCATTAATCAAAAATTACTTCCGGAATTGGCCTGGGTGTCAAACAAATTAAATATTGGGATAAAAAAAAAACCAAATAATTTCCTTATCCTTATTTATAG